TGACTTGCCTAGCGCATTCCTGTGAAATGAATTCTATATTCAACTCGTGCGCCTACTACACGCATACGAATTTTATATTGCAAAATACTCATTCATGAGCTTATTTCTGTCTAGCCGTTACTACTACTATTACTGCTTAACTACTTTACGGTGACTGCCTATGTGATTTTTTTTACTCATGCTGGTTTTATTAATTAATGTTTTTTTTTTATTCCACTGCCATTTTAATAAACAGATAGCTTTATATTTAGGTTTAATATAATATTAGTTAATTTATTTTTAAAGGTTGAAATCAACATGTGATTTAAGCCTGTGACGTCTTCATGCGTATCTTCTCCGTGAGCAGACGCGACGTTACTACGCATTTCATACTCATTACTTCTGTAAAAAAAAAAGTGTGCAATAAATGTAAACACGATGAACCGACGACGGTATGCGGAAACCTATCTATCTAAAGGTAGATCTCCAAACTACTTCTTTCTGTTGGAACTTTTCTTAGAGCAATACTAAGACCAAAATAAAGCATGAATACAAAACGGACGTAGTACATGAGGCCTCTGCAAACATTTTCCGTGTTCTGTACTATTCTAATTCTTAAAAATCTGATTATGATATTTTCGATTCTATAAATAACATCAGTTACGCAGACGACATGGTGCTCCTGAGTGCCTCAATCTGTGGTGTTAGAAAACTTGTTTAGATATGTGAAAGATATGCCAAAAAGCATGGTTTGTTCTACAACGCCAAGAAATCGGAGGTCATGGTGTTTGATGCTGCTAATAAAAAAACCGAGAATGTACCTCCCGTGACTCTTAGCAATACGACGTTTATAGCTTTAAATATCTTGGCCACTTGTTGACCCCTGACCTCCGAGACGACTCAGATATTGAGCGAGAACGGAGGGGGTTGTCATTGTTCGCGCGTTGCTCATTAATGTGAAAATGACACTGTTCCGTGCATATTGTACTACCTTCTACACCCGCAGCCTGTGGGCTAGATTCACTCAAAACTCGTACAACGCCCTCAAAGTACAATATAACAATGCGTTCAGGATGCTGGTGGGGCTGCCTCGATTCTGTAGCGCATCGGGGATGTTTGCGGACGCACACGTAGACTGCTTTTACGCAACGATGCGGAAGAGGTGTGCATCCCTGGTGCGCAGGGTTCGGGCCAGCACTAACAGCATCCTACGCATGATATCGAGTAGGCTGGATTGTACGTATGTGAGTCGCTGCAGTGCTGTCTCTGCCGGGATTGCACAGCGGTGACCCACATACAATAGTAAAATACTTGTAAACACTTTTAAAGACTGTTAAAATAATTTTAGTGATTCCTGGTTACTTTATCGAATAAATGAATTATTATTATTATTACAAAAATTATATCAATTTATCACACGCCTACATAACAAATGGTTTGAGTGCACGTGTTTTAATTCTTTTGTTAACATTGGAAAAACTAGGTAGGTAATTGCTTTCATTATAGTAACATTGTCACACATGTCACATAATAGGGATTTTTTATCATTTTATTGAAGAACAATTCTTCCTTCAAAACATATTCCAGTAATTATTGAGCAGAGAATAAAAATTCCACTATCATTTTTTATGAAAAAAGGATTATAAAATCTTACTTCCCTATATTTCAATTACGTTTACTGACCTACTGCTCAATCACCTACTTCCCATAGTTGGGTACAAATATTATGAATTGTATGTTGCTCTTACAAAAATTGCTACTGAGTTATAACAAAAATTGCATAATTTACAATCAGCAACCTTCGTAAAATGTATGTCATGGTTTCAAATACATAAACTAATAACGCCATCTATTTTGTATTTAAATAGTTATATCATTATGTACTTTTAGCCATACAGAAAACGGAGTATTCTGGTTACAACGCCCTCTATGACGCATATATATAACTAACTCAATCTTTTCGAATTGAGTGAAAATAAAACAAAATATTTGGAATAATGTTTTAATGAAAATTCAACTAAACGTATAAATCTTATTTATACTTACAATAAACAGTAAAATGGATAAATATTTACATTTAGCTGGAGGAGCATCGCACACGTAGGCTTGACACCCTCCAAAATTGCACTAACAAAAATATTGAAACCCACAATTTGGACTCCCTCATCACCCAAATGCTGTTTGAGACTCATATATTATTGTACACGATTTACAAAAGAAGCATGACCCTGACATTTTAACAATGACCTAGAGTATACTTTGACATGGTAATAATGATGACTTATATCCTACCCTAAAAAAAGTCGAAGTGCTGTATTTTATCTCCTGGTTTGATCCTTATGTTCTAAGTATTGATGGCCTTAGAACGCATAAAAATAAAAATAATATATTATACTTAACCAAATTATGGACCTTTGGGTAACAAAATATAAGTTAAAACGTCTTAATTTTTTTATAGATAATAATTTCATAGTGATATAATAATCAACAAGTTTAACGCCTAAGTTTTATAAGAAAATGTATTGTATTACATTACAACTGTTATTATCGTGGCTAAATGGATCATAAATAGGACAGACATTGAATCAATAGATTAGAAATATAATCGCTGATCATTGAACTGCCTAACTAACTACTAAATCTTTTATTTTTCCTACTGCGCTAAGTATTGTGGGTTCGAACCCCACATATGCTACCTCTTTTTGTGATACACAAATTATTGGAACGAAGTTCCGAAGTTTAAAATTTTATTACAATTCCTTCACTAATGAATCGAAAGGAACTTCGTTCCATACGGGTGTCCCTTGACACCTCTCAAATTTTTTTTATTCTGAGTCTGGATGTCCTTTGTGTCTGCTTCATGTATGATTGTAAAGTCCCTCCGCGACACAGGATCATTCTTATAACACTTAATCGAAAAAAACACCATATTTACTTAACTCAGTATAAAGTAAATTTTGATCAAAGACATCGAAATCAAATTCATTGGCATTTATTCAAAATACCTGAAATACTTATTATAAAAAGGTTCCATTAGAGAGGGCAAGGTAATGAGGCAATAGTATGAATTATGAATATGTCAAGTGCTTATTTTTCATCAGTGATAAGTGTTTTAACAATAATGAGGTTATTAATAACCATAGCAAAGCGAAAATTGTCCTACCTAAAGGAAATCTTGTAGAATTTGAAACAATCGAGTCGCATACAGCAATCGGATGAATACAATATAACGAGTAAACATTGTATAAGTTAATTATAAGATATAATAACGCAGTCTTAGTACGCCGTGGCCACTGGTCGCCCTTACCCTAGACTCCTAGAGAGACCGCTTCCTAGTACTAATACTACGGCGCTACTGAATACATACGTCTGCTAACAACAACTAACCTGTATGTTTTCGACTGTCGTTGTAGCAATAACTAAGTGGAATATCTCACTAAATATTGCTTAGGTACTAATCATAGCTGTCAGGTTCTCAGCATTCCTTTTAAGTCAATATTTGAACCAAATCTATCGTGGGAAATATTAAAAGTCAAAATTTGCCAGACATACATATCGAATCTGAAATCGCAAGCCTAACCTGCTCGAGGTATTATTGCTTTCACTGCCCAACCATTCTGAATAATCTTGATCTCTGTCCGTCAATTCTTTGGCTTATAATGTATTACCGGTTTTCAAATCTTTTATTCCAAACCGTTGACTGCAATAGACTTGTACCTTATTAAGTGTGCAGGACCAAAATTTACTTGATAAAATGTTGGTGGTTAATATGCTTTTGACTAACTCTTCGGCCCAACCCGTGATGGTGCAAACTCCAACAAAGCGTGGTATAGTAGGCCACAACCTCCTTTCTAAGGTAAGGCCTATGTCCAGAAGTGGACTATTAAAACAGGCTGTTGATGATGATACGAGTATGTGTTCGGGATTACAGACATCAGTATTAATTCTCTCTTACTGTTTAAATTGAAACGTGTTTGGGATACTTATAACTTTTATAAGGTAGGTACGAATGTACGATTCGTTTATTATGTAACGTAATTAAGTCCCGATTGGTTGCTGTTAATACAAAAAAAAATAGTATTCGATTTTGGTTCAAATAGTGACTCAGTTTCAAAGTTATAAGGACAGGACTGCAGAGAATTGTCTATCCAAAAACTATATTTTATTGGAATGTCTTTAACTCCTTAAATTTTTCTACTGTGTTTTACTCAATACCAAGAAAATTTATGAATTTGAACAAAAAAAACATTCTGTGATATTTGAGCTTCTGCTTATCATCAGCAAAGCTACAAATCGACATCCATTACTATCTAATGTCACTACATACCTCTATAAAATGATGCTACAGGTATCATGCAAGATAATGAACAATAACAAGACACCGCTAACTAACCTAAATGACGCTGCCTAGACTAGAACATGTGGAGGGACTAGAGAAAAGGAGTAATTGGAAAACTACTGCCGTTCACGAGCTTGGCTAAATAATTGACGATGACTAGTTCTATGAACTGATAAACATAAATCCGTTTGTCAGTAATCATAAAATATTTCCAAAAAAATTTAAGAATGAGGACCTGGGACCAAATATTTACTAATAAACTTATTTAAAAGTCAATACACACTGGCTATACTGACTAATCTCTTAATCTTTACAGATTGTTGACAATTGCTACCTATTTTCAACTGCGAATAATTAAAACATACCAACATATTTTCGACTAATTCCAAAAATATCATGTCTTTGCTCGGGTTTAGACGTAACATCAGACTGTTTGTGAAAAAAATACTAAAAGGCTGTTGGTAACAATAAGCTAAACGCATTCAATGTTATGAAATGTCAAATTTTAACGAACATTAATAACAATTTCTTAACAGACAACAGATATTGTTACCTAATTAAAAATATTAACCCAAATTTAACTTGTTGTAACGTGAAACGGCATATTGACTACATGCTACATTGAATCTAAGGGACACTAACAGTTAACTATGGCAGGCTGGGCAGGGAGACAGTTGAACGGCTATAGAGAGTCGAGGCGGGTTCGTTGCACCGCCAGCAGTGCCGACTGTTGCTGGAGACTCTTGCGTAGACCCTCTAGAGTCTGAAGCACCTGGGGATAGAAGCCAAGTTAGTAAGATTACATTAGAACATCAAATAATAAAACATTGGTAATAAATAACTGTCACAAAAGTATCCCCTATTACCACATTTCATCCTTTACTTCTCCATTATGAGAGTTGCAATTTTTTTTCAAATTGAGACATACCTTGAATTGTTCAAATTTGGTTTCTAAGGGACATATCAAAATGGTTCACGAGACATTCAGTCGAATTGAAAACCTCTTACTTTGTGAAGACGGTTGAAAATAACGGTATAGTTTTTACTATTATACGTGTGTCTTATATGGAAGAAAACATGCATTTTTGGTCAATAATTTAATTACAAATGGAAATAGAAAACTTAATGTATTACAGTAGACTACCGATAAATGTAATATTTGGCAGAAGACATGCAGAAGACTAACCTCATCGCGAGCATACGCCTTCCTCTTTGGCGGCTCGGAGTGAGGTCTATCAGTCGGTGAAGGAATATGCATATGGATATGAGGGGCTATGGGGGGTGGAGGAGGGGCAGCCAGGGGGGACCGCCTTGCGACGGGAGACAATCTTCGCGGCGGCTCCGGGGAATTCGCGCGCATAAAGTTCGTGATATGTGTGCGCTCTGGACTTCTACGGGGAGCCTCAACCTGATAACAATGGATTTCCAAGAAATGTTAAACAATGTAGTTTTTAACCATGTTACCGGCTCTAGAAGCCCATTTAAAAACTTATTGTTTAACCCTCAAATGCCTCAATATCGCACTTGGTAAATTATGTCAATGATGAGAGACATAAAAATATATGTTAATTTTTAAAATATACATAGATGCGCGACTATCGTACTTTATACGTATACCAAAATACTTGTAATAAAATTAAGTACGAAAGGTCTAACATGCATATATAAATTACTAGAGAAGATAAAATACATCTGATCTACTTTAAAATGTCCTCAAAATTTACTGCAATATATTTTAAATTAGGCTAGTCTTACCAAAATGTTACAATCTACTCTGAAAACTTCCAAATTATCCAAATTACTTTAAATAACCCTGATTTAAATTTCGGATTTATACTAACTACATCTCACCTCGGTAGCTCTCAATTCTCGAACTCTTGGGTTGTGCGGAGGCTCCAGCGGGGCCCTCGACACTGTGACCAGCAACTTTTCAGCTTCTCTGATCAACTCCCTGTATTTCCTCTCGGCTTCCCTGTCCGCTTCTAAAAGAGGGTCTCTCTCTCGGACGGGAGGGGCTGAAGGCGCGTGATTGCGACGACGCATTCGGGGTGGAGTAGCCCCTGAATGTAAATAATAGAATTGTATACACACGCTATTGCTAATAATAAAATACACTGTTATAAATTATTACGTTTTATTTATTTTTTCTTAAAAAGACAAGGTTCAGTAATTAGTTTCACACGCAACTTCAAACTTTCGCTATCTACAATTCATTATTTTAGTAGATTTATTATTTATTTAGGTAGAAACATCAGGCAATTGAAAGATATATAATTCCTATTAATCGCTTTAGTTCTCCCGTTAAAAATACATGCAGCTAACTGTATGCTCCCTTTTATATGAGCAAATAAAGCTTTAATATTTTTTATTAACTACTATCAAAATGTCCGTTTAGTTGTAATCCATACTATCCATCTAATCTATACTAATATTATTAATGCGAAAGTGTGTCTGTCTGTCTGTCTGTTACCTGTTTACATTTAAACCGCTGAACCGATTTAACGAAATTTGGTATAGAGAAAGTTCGAGCGCCTGGAAAGGACATAGGATCCAAAAATCATCCTTTAAGGGGAGGAGGTTTGTATGGGGAATCAATAACTCCTGAACCACTTTAGATGAAATTTACATGGAGATAGTTTGAGTTGAGTTGTGGGACTCTAACACTCACCAGCTGATCGCGGAGGCCTACGTGGGGGCCTCCTCCTTCTCGCCCTCCTTCTGCCTGGTGATGCAGTATCATCATCATCATCTTCATCACCTCCATCTAATCCTGTATCGCCATCTGAGTCGATATCTGCATCAGATAAAATGGCAGTTTCTCGCCCCCGAGTACGCATCCCACGACATTCTTCGTCGCTTGATGCACCGCCACGGTAGTAAGGAGATCCTTTTGGTTCCGGAGATAAGCAAGGGGATAAGTGTGGTGATCTATAAAAGAGAATGATAAAATGTATTAATTTATAAAAATATTACACAGAAAATATTACACACAGAGATAAACATTACACTGATTTACATAGAGCTATGATTATGGTGACGGATTAAGAATACGGAATGTCAACACCCCTATTCATCCCGTGGGTATCGTAAAAATCGACTAAGGGAGCACTGCAAAGAGAAAGGAACCTTGTAACAAACCCTATACCAACCCGTCTGGCCAGCGTGATATAGTAGGCCATAACCTCCTTCCTAAAGAGAGGCCTATGTCCAGCAGTGAACTTTTATAGGCTGTTGATGATGATATGATGATGAGAGCGAAAATTTATTCATTGCAATAAATATTTTGTTTAGCTTAACAGGAAGGTAAAATTATAAATATAAAACATTCATCACTGTAATATTATCTACTTTAAATATAAGTAAATCCCATAATTTCTTTTCTGATTCTGTAATGTAACTCAGTTGTATACATTTTCTTATTAAATAAACTCATTTTCTTGCGTTTTCTCTTTTCTTTCTTAAATAAAATCTCAAAACACAAGACCATTTTAGCTACAAATCTAGATTTTATGCATGCAATGGCAGATTATCATACGAAGTATAAGTTATTTAGTACCTTGTAAGATATCATAAGTAGCATGGAGATTTGCTTTGCCTTTCAAATTACTGCTGTTACCTACGGAGTAGACATGGGACAAAATCACATTGAACTGTGATTTATCATACGATTTTTGCGTCGTAGGTTAGGGTTGCTAAGTAGGTAGGTTAGACGCTATTTAACAGTAAATCTAGTTTTTTTTTTAAATTATTATGTAGGGAATGATAGCTATATATATGAAAAGAAACTAGATTTACTGTTAAATAGCTTATTGGCAACAACGCGCAAGTAAGTAGTAACCCTAACTTACGTACGAAAAAATCGAATGATAAATCACCTGATTTTGTCCTATCTACATATATTAAGCACTTTACATAACATGTCGTAGTTTACGTATAGCGTTAACAGATGGCACTGTGCTCAAGTAGAAGGTCAACGGCCAAAAAAGAGTTTTTTATTTTAAATTGTTATAGAAATTGAAAACACAGAAAATTAGAGAAACATCATAATAATCTCAACAATAATTTTATTATTTTTGATTTGCTTGTATTTTTTATTTCCTGATGCTAGGTAACATCACTTTCACATTATTTGATTAATTTAAGCGTATGAAAATGTTCTCTTAACTCTTCAGTCTGTAGGTAACTAAAACCATTCGAATTAGGGTTCCTTTGATTTGTTTGAAGCGACACATACATATACATGACAGTCTCTTGATGGCGTTCATTGACTTATAAAAGAAAGACATTTTTATTTTTACTCTTATTACTTTTATGCCTACATTCTCCGTTTATTTAGATTGTGCAATTAATTAACAAATGATGATAAATACAATATTCATTGTTGAATTGACATTATATTGGACACTAATTAACTAGATTTTTACTAAACGTCACAATATCAGTGTTAATCCATAAAGAGAAAAAACCTTTAATAATAGACTTGCCCATAATGATGTTCCCCTAAAAAAAAAAAAAAACTGTAGTCAAACACAGAACCCTCTTGAAATGGTATATAGTGTGCATTCATAAACGGAGCTATAGAGATATAAATTTAATTGAATTATCATTCAGCGTCGTCCAACGTTTACCACTGACCTACTTTAGGCAAGTAGATAATGCTTAAAGAATTAATCCAGCATCATAGCGTGGTGTTCACCCTACATAGCTGAAGAGTGCACTTTACATTCAGTTGAATTCATATTATTATTTTATTGCTGCTAATACGAGTATATGACTAGATGTATAAAGACACGGAAGAGCGCTCCGAAAATAATAAATCACAAATGATTTAAGCGAACAATAGTTCTTTAAATAAATTTTCAGTAAATTATTATATAATTATCCTATATCTAAATCCCATAAGTAGCCTAGTTATTAATAATATACAATACTTGAATAGACGACTGTACTTCATAAAATCAACAGAGTCGGTCAATTCCATCTCTTATTCTTTGTGTATATTTTGTATGTTTCATGTTAATTTTAACCAAATATCCTCTACTGTTGAGAATAACTGTATAAGCAAAGGTATTAGCATTTTGTTATTATAGGACGCACGAAAGCTCTACAGAATTTCTAACAGTCAGTTTCGGAGCGCTCTGCCTGAATACATTAGTTCTCACAATCACGTAAAAGATAGTTTATCACGTCTTTGTTTTTTAAACTATATATTTCTAACTATTAATTATGAGAACAAAGATGTTAATGGTCTCTCAACATTCGGAGTTAGGTTTCATTAACTCTCCCTATAACTTTTCACAGATTATAATGTGATTTTTTTGCTTTCAAAAATGGAATAGTAGTGTTTATTCTTATTTTATTTTCCTGCTGGTGTTTAGTAGTAGAATATGAATTTCATATATTATATAATTATATTTAGATGTTTCGGTTGTAGGATACTATATATTACCGTCATGGCAGATTGTAACAATTTTCCACTCTTAGAAGTAGAATCATGGACGTACTCGTATAAAAATACGTCCATGGGTAGATATTTTTTTTAAATTGACATGTCACCAACTTTGAGTTAACAATCAAATCAATCAAAATAACAATTCAACTGGTTCCCCATTGTACAATATACCTACTCTTTAATCCTAACACTCCTCGTTATTTAATAGAACGCTTTAAATTCATACATGATACGCTTTCAAGGTTGCTCAGATCGTCGAAGAACTTGACTTTGAAAATCCCGAAGCGTTCTACGGCTTTTATGGACAAGTCATTTACTGTGCAAGCCATACGTTTGTGGAATGTATTTCCGCTGCTCATCTGACAAGCACAAACGCTAGCTATACAAACTTATTCAAGAAGAATTTCCTAAATTGTTGAGCGATGAGGACCTTAATGTCCTTGAATCATGTGTGAACCTGCATCTTATTCCTATTTCTGCAATCTATCCTATTTTGTATAGTGTATTTATATCCTAGTGTACCTATATATATCCTATTTGTATAGTGTATACATATATATCCTATTTTGTATGGTGTGTACTTATATGTCTAGCAATGTATGTATGTGTTCATTGTACTCATTTATATGAGTTTGTTAAGTCTTAATTATATCGTACTCGTTACTTATATCGTTAAGTTTTACTTGTGCATTTAAGAGTTATCTATCTAAACTAAATATAATACTTGCATAAGTATAAAGTTTAGTTAATACATAAATTCCTAAAAGGCTGTAACTTTACATTCTTACACAATATTGAATAATAAATGTCCTGGAATTATTATTCCAGACTTGGAATTATTATTACTTGAAACTTGTAGGGTTGGGGAATACCCCAACCCTACAAGTTTCAAGTCTGAGCAGTAAGACACCATTGGGTTTATTGAAAACTCACCTGGCACATTTCAGATGAGAATCCAGCGAATACGGCGAATGGTGCAACTGCGGTGGATTTTGCGGCGGACATTGGAGCGAGTGCTGGTGCACTACATTTTGCGGCCGTCGCCTGCTCGGTGAAGTAGCCCCAAGCCATGGGTTGGTCCGTATTCGACATCTTGGTCGAGGAGATGGAGTAGCGCAAACCACAACGGAAACAACAGGTTCTGGAGCACAGCGGCGTACTGTTGCTGCGCTTGAACGACGCTGCAAATAATTGTTAAGTAGTGAAAGCACTTTGAAATACCAAAGAGGTTTACAATCAGAAATTAAAACTTAAAGACCAAAGAATGATCGCGACCACCCCGTCACAAAAAGGGGGCATCAGATTATATTGTCTTATATCAAAATATTTTTTGTGTTACACAAATAATGCACATTACAATATACGTTATTGTTTATACTTTTCGTAATAAGAGAAGTGGAAAAGTAGAATTAGTCCTCTGTGAAGTAAGAGGACATGTCAAAAATTGCGCTCGGACTACCTAAACGGCAGTCGGGCGCGATATAAAATTTACTTATGGGTGTCAGCATAAATGCTCTCACTTTACGATCACTGCGCACTATGCTCCCCAAGACAAGGAAGTTGAAATTAAAATTTTGACAACCACTATATTACTAACTCGAAGTATTGAAACCATAACGCCATTTATTTAATGCTAACAACGCCATCTAGGGAGAAAAGTGGCAACTTTTCGAAATTCGTTTAATAATAAACTATTTCTGTTTATTGATATACACAATTATATAAGTTGGGATGCAATCCTTTTTTTATGATTGTCATTTTATAAAAATAACACTTACTTAACAACTAGCATTGGGATCAATGCTAGTCGAATCGTGAAACACTTTACACTTTTGATTAAAAGCCATCAACTGATGGGATGTCTCAGAAGTGAATGTGAATGTTTTTATGAAAACAATTTTATAAAAAAATTAAACCGATTTAAAAAAAAAACATCAAACAAAAACTGTTCAACCACCTTCAAATGTTATTCCTGATGATAAGAATAACTGTGATGGTTTTATGCACGTGTTGAAACTGGGCAAAGGCTCCAGAGTTATGTTGAGATGCAATATTTCTGTTACTAAAGGCTTGGTCCAAGTATCTTGTCCAAGTTTATCAGGCGATTTACCAGTTTTTGTAAAATACTTCCACCCTTTGCTGAGGAACTTTGTGGTAGAAAAAAATAGATAAGAGACATCTTTGAAGCTTCTTGTATATCGTGTAAAAGTTTGAACTTAATCGGTGCAGAACTTTTCGAGTTTTTGAAGCGTACACATAACAACTTAATTTTTAAATACTTATAAAATTATATATGTATAGATGATTACGACTCTATTTCTACAAAATCAATAGCGCCTATGTCATCATCTGTTAACTCACCCCGTTCAACATCCCCGTAGCTTTAACTTGCCTGATATACCTAATCAGGCAACTAAAAGCTACGGGGATGTTAAACGGAAAATGTTACTGCTAATCCTCAGTTGGGCGGTTAAGTTGCATAAACTCCAGGGCGCTACCCTTTTTTTTTTTTTTTTTTTCTGTGCGGAAATGCCCTCGGATACCACCTGTCGGTGGCATGTCGGACTCGAACCGACTAAAACCGCACGCCGTCTCGGGTACTAATAGCCGGGGAACCAGGTATACCCTAGAAAGGAAGTCCCTGGTGCCCCGACATACCTCGGGTCATCTACAGAGGAGTAGACGATCCCCCCCCCACCCCCGTGTGGGAACCCCATGTTCCCTGTGCTCTCTGGAAGCGAGCGCGCTTCGCAACGCGCTCGCCGCCACCCCGGCCTGCTTCTGCTAGGGTGACAGATGGCCTCACCTGTCACCCCCAGGCCTGCGCTTATGGAGGACGGAGGTCGTTCTGCGTCCAGGGCGTAGGTATGTAGAGCAGGTTGCTAATCCAACCCTCACCTTTGCATATCTTTTGTTTCCTGTATATTACAGGTTACTCCATCTTAAAGTATCATCTAACTCCTAACCGTTGTGGAATTTTACCTTCCATCATTAGCTCACATGAATGACTTGAAAGAATACAACTAAAAGTATAAACATACATATGGTATTTAAATAACTATCCTCTAACAGTTGTACCTTCTATCAACAGCTCATCAACACGAGATAATGACTACCAGACGCAAATACTAGAATAGCTTTGGAAAATACACGAAACACATAATACGTGCCTATAAAATTTAAGGGGTTGTCCTAGATTTCCCTTTCATCATGATGAGATCCTGACTTCGTGACAATGAGACCACCTCAGGACTATACTCGTACTCTTTCGGTTAACAAATAATCTCTTTAATAATCGGTGAACAAACAATATAAAAAAAATATAAACATACAGTGGAACATAGAACTTTTTGAAGTCGGTTAATTAAATACCTTCTATGTTTATAGATACATAAATCTTTCTTCTCAATCAGGTACAATATTATTAGGCAGTAATAACATTAATATTTGGCTGATTATATTATATTACCCTTTTTATTTCATTTTTATAGGTTTAAATCATAATTTTGATGAAAATGTGGCTACATACAGAAAATTTTGCCAGGATATATGATATCGATCGTCAGTACTTGATATAGCCCGTGGGTGAGTAAAGCTAGCCCCTCCAATTAGTACGGTCTAGTTAATTGATACACGAACCCGCTCATAAGAGCACGTGGGTCAGCCGTTAAACTCTTGATACAGCCCAGTGAAAAGGTGTTAGGATATATTTATTTAAAAATTATTTGATATAATTTGGCTTAGTTATTATATTTTGTAATATAACTAACGTATCAATTACCTAAAAAACATTTTATCTTCAAAAACTATATAAACTTGCTAGCTAAAACGTACAACTTCGTCCGCGTAGACAAACTTTAAAACAATCCAGTAGTGACTTTAGTTGAATTGCTATGTCAATTATTTACTGAAAAAAAAAACAATAATATTATGACTAAATTGCTAAATTGGTTCAGCTCATTCACAGATTAACATACACTCACGCCTTAATATTTATTTCTATTAAATCAATATTAATAAACGTCCAAAGAGGCCGAACTTGATACAAAAAAGTTAGTACACGTAGTAGTAGTAGTACGTTTCTTCTAAATTCCATAAGAATTTATAGCATTGCCGTTTTACTGTCGCGATTGAAGTCTTGACTTTTATTGTCTTCTTGGCTATCAACATCGTCCCCCTTATTTCCCCCGCACAGTTATTCAGACAAAGCAAACACGTTCTAACATACAAATTGTTACTCTTTTCATCTCACTATGTATCTTTACATTAAAAGTTGATCGATTGTCTTATTGCTGTACTGGGTGCCTTTCATTTTTTTCTAAATATATTATACTGATAACTCACATTTCAACAGGGAACACCAACTCAACAACAACAGGGAAGCAGAGGCGTCAGTAATATCGATGAATTATCTAAACTAAATAAAGTACGAAACGATTGCACAACACCCGCCGTTAAGCTAACCCGTTGTAATTGACTATTGATAATCCGTGTGATGATGATAATACGGAGTGTCATCACCCCCGTTCATGCCGTGGGTGTAGGGAGCAAACTACGCAACACAACAGCACTGCAAGAGAAGGAAAACTTGAAATAAACCCTATACTAACCAGTCTGGCCAGCGTGGCAAACAGCGTGGCGTCTGGCAAACGGAAAGTATTATCATAGTGTATATTACACATTTGGTGGTATAGTATGCCAAAACCTCCTTTATCAGGAAAGGCCTTTGTCTACCAGTGAACTATTTAAGGCCGCTGATATTGTTGATATAAAACGGAAAGTATAAAATTAGAAAATTAGAATTTTTCAAATCGGTTCCTACATTACAAAATTTAAAAGTTCAAAAATTACAACCGACTTGAGAATCTACTTCGGTTTTGAAGTCCGTTAAACACTCATGATAAGGGTACTGGTATATAGCTCCATCACCGCAATAACCTATATGATCTTTTATAAAAATTTATGGCAGGACAAATCAACACTACGTACGTTCTATTATTATACTCTCAATGACAAAATAATGTAGTTTTATTTATAACGGTACAATCCCAATTCAAACGAAATTCCGAAATGTAAATTAATTTAATTCGAACCCTACGACAAAGTGTACTATTCACGTGAATTCTGTTTCAAACAAAGTGCCTAGAACTTGGAATGTTCAAATTTGAATAATTTTCAGAAACAACGAACTCGAATCCTGCGGTGGAGCTTGGCAGAATTCCAAATTCTTTCTCGTAAACGACGGTAGCCTTGTAAGGGCTGTGGTAACTTTAAACCACAGTTGTGAATTCACATGACATCCTCTGTTTAAATTTACCTCGAGACCAAGGCACTTTGTGTAAATAAGATCACGTCACAACAGCTTCAACTTTTGTGTTTCTACTAGAGCAACTGAGCAGTGAGTAAAGCAAAAAGTAACAAAATTATTCTCTTAGTAGGCTACTGCTGCTATCCTAGTAGACTACGATTTACACACTAAACTTACAAGTTTAGTGCTCCTCCTGACTGCTAAGCCAGAGGTTGTGGATTTGATTCTCACCCAGGAAAAATATTGTGTGATGAGTACGATCATTTGTGAAGTTTCTTATCGTGCGTTACACGCTCTGAACGGATGGGAGTAAGACCGAGCAAACGTCTACCAAAATGCGAAAGGAACTTTCTTTCCGACGGGGGGTCTACAGCCTCTTCACGCCGCCCGTTTTGTTCTGTGTCTGGGTGTAATTTATATGTGATATGTATGTATTTAGAAATTTATAAGTATGTTTATCAGCAGTCTGGTTATATGCCACAGGCTCTCTATAGTTGGGATCAGTCTGCCGTGTGTGAGATATGTAAAATATACGTAATAAAAATTCAACTAAATCAAACTGAAAACAATTATTTAGACGGGTATACATTTTTTGTTCAAATATGTACACCTTATCGGTCGCACATCATGCCGCTTGTATACTTGAATAAGTGGCATGGTATACACTTTTCTAAAATTATTCATTTCTAGGATACATTTATGTTTTCTAAGATTTTAAAGGGAAATCGTTCAAAAATAAAAGCAAATGATGTAGACAATATTCTGTATACTGAGATCATATACATGGGCCTAACGACCTCCTAAATATTAGTTTAATATAACCTTGTGTACTTAATGTGAGATTAGAAGAGAACCTTAACTGTGCTTACTGGTGTAGTCAAACTCATTTCAATACCGTCATTAGAAAGTACATTATACTAAACGTACCTTAGCTGGTTCATGGTATAGGTGAGTGGTTGGAGGCGTGGGTGGCGGCGGTGGGGCGACAAGCGGGGCAGCTAGCGAAGTCGGCGGTGCCCCGGGAGACGTGCCATCGGTGGAATACCCAGTACTGTACGCACTCTCAGGTGATGACAAATGCGGCGGAGGCAATGTTCCTGGGGTCGTTGTGGCAGTGATTTGCCTCACTTGCTTCTGTTTACGCTTCTTAGCCCGCCCCAGCTGCGCTTCCATCCATGACTTGATCCGCGCGCCCAGCATGCCGTCGTCGGCACCTGTATTACATAGACAGTGTATTCCATTTTTGCACGCGTACTCTAAATTTTCACGACACATCGACGATCTTTCATATATTTAGATTTGTACATTATTTACTTCTTTCAAGTCACGACAACGCCGTTGTCGATTCGTAAATAACTTTGTGGTGAATTTTGCCTAGACAATGTGGAAGTACATATAGTTTTCTCAGGTTTCTTTTTATTAAGCAATTTATAGAATAAAGGTTTTTTATGTGACTTGGAATAGAATAGAATAATTTATTTGCAAAAAATATGATATTTATGGATGTTACATGGAGTACCGAAGTGAAGTGGCACGCCTACGAAATGTTTGTATAAACTAGACACAGGCGAAGGCCCTTGAATTCCTCTAGGCGATAATAAATATTATTGTTCTTGTTATTTTAAGAACTTGTTTTGTTAGTACTCTTATTTACACACAAGTTACATATAACATGCGTTTAAATATGTGCACTTTAAAGAAGATTACAATGGATTTTTAAGTTTATCTATATAACTTGGTCGCCAAGGTACGCCTGATTTATAAGATTTGCGGCAACGGTAGTGTGTGGAAAGAGTTTGTTATACATATACTAGCGATCCGTTCCGGCTTCGCACGGATGCAATGTAGGTACTACTAACATGGTGTCAGTGTGGAGTAATTAATTATAGTACTATTATGATAAGACTATACTACAGTCATCTTTTATAATAATATGGAATATTTTTAGATCTGCTCCGCTCCTGACGGCCGCTGCCAACCGGGTCGAACGTACAGTTCGAAGACCGCTTTGCCCCTGTATTTTTAATCTCTGATATCTACTAATATATTCACTCTAATGATAAAAGACAATTTGGATCATCATTAAATGCAAGACGTATCTAACGTGGATAGCAAATAATACTTTATTGTTCAAAATAGCTTCGTAAGTTACCCATTATTTGTTGTAATATGTAAAAAATAAAAATGGTTACTGTGGGTTACGGATACCATTCCGTAGTTCATTATTTTGATGTACCTCGTTATCCAGTATTCGCAATGTAAGCGCACAAAAACACTTTTTCTTCGACCTTACTTTATAAATCGTCGAAATTGTTGGATTTTCTCTACTATACTTTTTTCTTTTTCTTAAAAAAGAACTCCCGCGTTAGAAATATATCCTATGTCGCTTGGTGGATTACACAAAGTGTTGTCCCATGTGGGGATCGAACTCACAACGTAGTAGTAAGCGGCGTGGCGACCTCTTAAACCACTACGCCATCCGTGCAGTAAAATATGCATGTATTATACATATAAACCCGCCTATTGAATCTCTCTATTGCTGTAATCACTCTCTATTGGTGAAATCCGAATTAATCCGTTGCGTAGTTTTAAAGATCAAGATAAGCGTACAAGAAGAAAAAAGCAATTTCCTTTTTGTACTATGTAAAGATTGCACTGCTTTGACCGACTTTGACTGAACGACTTAGATAGCCAATTTGACACGATTAGGAAACTAAACAATTAATTAATTCAATTACCTACTTACAAAACAGTTTTGGTTTAGTAAAAATGTTAAACACGTTCACATTTATTCAATCGTACTTTTAAAATATCTGGCATAAAAAGCAAATACTTATTTTATACTATACACTAAGAAAATATTTCACGCGTCACTTGAACAAAGAGGTTTAGGGAAATACAGTGAATACGCGTTTACGCATCGAGAGAAACAATTGCAACCCCAACAGCTGCTCTACATTTTCCTGTCATCAAAACCCACGCTTTGAAGTAAACAAAAGTAGTGACATAAAATGTTTTATCGTGTCGTCGTCATTTCATTGCTATGGAAGGGCACTTGGCGAGGAACCGCAATACGATGTCTGGGGTTCGATGTGAGCCCTTGGCGTGTCGTATTTCGAGAAAATTTAACGTAAAAAAGGGCGCAGTCAGCACCCTCTTTATGTCCATCGGTAGCGCATCTTATGAAAACAGAAAACAATAATTCTATTGTCTATAGCCCCGTCACTTTTAATCAAACGGTGAATGACTCGAGCATAAATTATACATTGATATTAAAAACAGTGGGCGTGTTACATTACACCGGCACTGAAATTATTGATTGCAGTTCTGCTCTTATAGTTGATAGCTTAATGTTTTAGATTGAATAATTATTATTATTAACAGCTTAAAGGTTAGATTATAATTGAATCTCAAATGTTAAACAAAAATGGAACCCTTATAGTTTCGTTATGTCCGTCCGTCCGTCCGTACGTCTGTCCACACTGTGTGTCACAGACTATTAGTGCTAGAAAACTATAATTTCGTATGAACATACATGCTAACCGCGCCAGCAAAGTGGCAAAATAAAATATTGAATAATATTTTTTAGGGTACCTCTAGCATCTTTATAGTGGAGATGTTTTTTTTGTTCACCCATCAAATGTGGGATGATTATTTTTAAAAGACCTATCCAATAGGTCTTTTAAAAGTAATAAGAATTTGGGAAGACAATATTTTGATTAAGTTATCCGTTTGTAAGATATTAAGCCTTAAAGCGACGATTTTTATTACAGTCAAGTAGAAGCAGTAGAATGAATATAAACAGACCTGAAGGCCAATTCTCGTAACTAAAGTTCGGTCTCAATTTAGTTCCGATTAACTTTCGATCTCACAACTATCATAAAAGGTATTTTCATAGTAATATAGTAAAGTATTACCAAGCCTAGCAGATTACCGTTTTAATTTTTGGTTACAATGCGTTATAATCACATTACAGTCAACGTTAGATGTTTAATACTTCACGACGAAAATACCTTTTATGACAGTTGTGAGATCGAAAATTGATCAGAACAGAATTGAGACCGAACTTTTATTACGAGAATTGGCCTTCAGATGTCGTTACAGTAATAACCGCACTTAATACAGAAACATTTATAAAGTGCATTCTTTATAATCCTATCAACCCCATTAAAAACATCTGCAAAAATATCTCTGATCGCTTTACACTCAGCAACTTCTAAAGCAATCAATCACCAAAATCCTTCATTCAGAAACTTATTACGCTACTCCACACATGCTGGGTACTCGTATGTATATGTGGAACTTAACTAACGTTTCGACGCCCTCACCCTTTCCTGCAAAACGAATGGCCGGATAAAAGACGGATGGAATAGACTTATCCAGTTTAGTAGAGGGTGTAAACTTACGAGATTTAGCTAATATTAGCAATCCATTACGGGCCGCAGTTGGAAAGTTTATTTAACTAACCGCACTTAAATATACCGACTCTCTGATGGAATATTGATTGAACCTCTTCTCCATAAACGATCTGGGTAAAATGGGTTGGCTTTAAATTAAACTCGTACGATATCAGGATTGAATTTTAATATACGATATATCGTTATTTGGTTCAGATTAAGCACGGAAAGCGAGGGGGAGGACGTCAAGAAGATTATTATTAAATTAGTTGCACAAATTCAAGGAAAAATGTACCAGAATATAAAATTTTCGCGAATCCCAGAACAAAATTGCAAGATGATCTTGCAAACAAATAAACAATTTCTTTCTCTATGAATTTAGATTCTATCGTGAAGACTCAAATGGAAATTGTTATTAGGACCAGGAATTTGTTATTAGTTCAAATGGATTTATTAAAGCGATTTGTTTGACATAGAACATGGTTAACAAATAGTAACCACGTAACTGAAAGGGTGTACAATAAAGGATAATAAAATTAAAGACAAACATCATGGACGTATAAAACGTACAATTTACACTTGTGTCAATGATGACATAAAGGTGAATATAAAAATAAGAAAAACCTTTACCAATAAGATGTTTTACGATACGCCGTCTGAGTAATGAAACGAAAGCAAACTAATAAATTGTGGCTTCGGGACAAAGCACCGAACTTCAGGGTAGATCCAGGCACTTTCGTGTCTCAACAACTTAAACAAATGCGACACGTCCGACAATGGAATTGCCTTATCAATAAAATGTCACCGTACACATGGAAATAGTACCCTGAGGAAACTTTTTTATCTCGATCCGACCACGAAGTTATCCATCTAAAGTAGCCTCCTTTTGTCTTACTTCAGATTTAGCGGTAAACACTTTCTTTTTTTATTAATAGCTTTCTTACTTTTCTGTGGGTCTGTTAGGTAAGAAACCCTGAATACAGTAATTCCTTAATACAAACAACTTTTATCTTCGTGGGTTACGTACTGTTTTCAGGTTGAAATGTTATTGATACTTGTCATGAATAGACCACATTAGTTCCACTATAAATTCGCTTATAAACAAAATGACGCATGATCGTTAGCTAACAACATTTTCAATAACGTACCTCTATTATTACCGCACAAACAAATCGTGAATGTTACTCAGCGAACTGCTACTAAATTGGAATACCCTCAATGTCGATCAGAACATTGCTGAATGGGAGTAACATTAAAGTAACCTATAGTTATTGGAAATTGAACGAGGCTCGACGTCTATTGTGTGCCGAAATACAATCACAATGGAACTGAAATATAAGTAAAACACACCATGTTCGATAACAGTGGGAACTGTAATATGACAAAAATGATTACATATTTGTAGATATTGACTATGATGTTTATAAAGAGCCTGGGCATATTCTAATCAAAATTATATCTTTTTCGAATGAAGCTCCTGGGAAGTGCTTCGGTGTAACCTACATATATATTAATAAGTAAAGAAAATCCAAACAGGACTCTTTTGAAACAGAACAGATATATCGTAATAGTTGGGATACTTAATGTTAATAGGTGCATGATGTGTGGTGCAGAAAGCTAAAGTTAAAATTGCTTTAAAGTTAAAAATATATGTTAAAATGGATACATTAAACGGAGTCTTATACATATTTACCGTTTATGGTACAAAAGTCAATATAAGGACTACTCAAGTTCTACTGGTCAATGAAGTATACCAAAACGTTCAAAACGGTCGAAATTCGACCGCCAGGCGATCTCTACTTGAAGTAAATTTGATGACCTTTTTTTGAAATAAATGAGATAATCACGTCTCCTGATCAAAGACTTTGAACTTAAACA